TAATTGTCAGTCATCTCTCTTTAACTATACAGTAAAATTGATGGTTTTTGCTTTGAACTTTCATGAAAATAAAAAGATGAATAGGCACTTCAAAGCATAACAAATACATAACAATTGAAAAATATTTGTCAAATATTAAATGACAAGTATGCATAACAATACAATGCAATTAACAAGTGATTTGAATTGAAAACACTTTCTGTGTAGTCAAAGATCATTGAGACAAAGTTATTAACACATTCACAGTGTAAGGCATAAACAAACAAGTTTTTCTTATTTACAACTTAACAAGACCAATTTCTTAGAATGTACCACAATAAACAAATTCATTGATTCAGAGAAAATTGGTAAAAATTGTACATGTTGACTAAAACTTTTAAAATTACGTTTTGGGGGTCTAAGCAAGTCCTACATTTATCTTTGCCTCTCGTAACAATCTTTGCATGACATCAGAAATTTCATCGTCAGTACTTTTCTTCTTGCCCTTTGATTTTGGCTTTTTTAAATTTGATTCTTTATCTGTGCTTTCAGTGGAATGTCCTGAAATTTTCTGTTTCTTAGGCTTAGTATTATTGACAGGTTGTGAAATTTCCTTGACACCAGACTTCTTCTTCGATTTGGCAGAGGACTTAGTAGACTTTTCAGCCTCAGCAGCCTGGCGTTTATTCCTCATATCAATCAAAAAATCTGAGGTATTCCTATCATCAGGACCAGAGTCAGAATCACTGTAGTTAATTTTTGCTTGTACACTTTCAAGTTTCTTCTTGTTGGGTGAGGTCTTTGTTACTTTGTTAGAAACAGAGTCACCAGTCACTGGTTTAACAGGCACATTTTCAGTTTTTACGGTTTTCTTTTGGCTGGTTACTGCATGAGAATTTACCAGTGTGTCAGAGGCAACAGTTTCGATCTTTTCTTTTGAATTCTTCTTCTTCCTGGGTGTAGGTATAGGTACAGCTGGAGCATCAGAGGTGTTTACACCAGTCTTTTTCTTAGCATTTGGACCTTTCTTTTTAGGTGTGACCTTAGCTTTTCCCTTAATACCTAATCGCTTTTCTTCTTCCATGATAGCAATGGTACTTTTCATCAATTCCAAGTCACTGTCATCACTATCACCATTTACTGCTTGTGTTGTCGGTGCCAAAGCAACCTTCCCTTTGACAGGTGTAGATTTGGTGATGTCTCTGGTTGATTTTTTTGGCGATTCTTTGATCTTGTCAGCTGAAATCGGTTTACTGGACTTTTTGGCATTGTTTGGAGTAGCATTATTAAATGACTTGCCCAATTTAGACATGTTCCCTCGGTGCTCATCAATACTCCTCTCGCTTTCTGAATCAGAAGTATCATGCTTCAAATTTGGTTTCGCTGTTTTCAAAGGTGACTGCATAACACCCATTGACTGCAAAAGTTTGCTTTTTAAAGCATTATCTGAATCGCTATCAGCTGAACTATCCTCAGCTTTTCTCGAACTTAAGAAGGACTTCTGTGGGGACTTGGCTGTAGGTTGATAATCATCTGAATCAGAATCATCTGATTCACTCCTCTTTCTGCTCACAGATGTCGACACTACAACTTTTTTAGGAGTGTCAGAATCACTATCGTTTTTTCCTTTTTTGGTGGGGGAAATCTTCTCAGGACTCATTTCTGGGGCTAAAATCTTTTTTTCAAGGTCTCCGAACATGAGCGGCGCTCGTCTAGCTCCTCTCATTGGGCCCAAGTCTAGATCCATACCACTACTTGGGGGAAAGTAACCAAGACTGAATGAGAGTGACTGTCTTCTCTCGGGTGATTTAGATACACGTTTCAGAGGGGACTCTGAAACCAATCTCTGACCTGGAGGAATGGTGTCATCAGAGCCAATTTCAAGTGAGTTATCAAGCACATCTCTTTCTTTCCTCTTTTTTGACTTTTTCACAGGTGACAAGTTCTTAGGAATTTCATCTAGTTTTTTCTTGGATTGAGAAAGAGTTTGGCTATCTCCTGTACCTGTACCAAATTTGATTTTGTTCTCTTGGCTATCAGATGGTACTGAAACATCAGCTTTTTTGTCTTTCTTTGCCTTCTTTTCTTTGACTGGAAAGGGTTCTGAAAATAAACCTTTCGACTCAGAATCCTTCAGTTTCTTTTTCTTAGGAGAACTTGTTTCACCTATACTTGACTGTGCCAGAGATAGGGATTTGCTGTTAGTAACTGCATTTTCTTGTCTATCCTCAGTTTTCAGGTCAAAATCTGACTCTGACAGTTTTTTCTTCTTTTTACGGGAAGAATCAGAGATATCTTTTGAACTTGCCTCAACTTGACTAAGTGGGTTGATAGGTTTAGAAGATTGAACTTTTAATTTCTTGGGGGATACAATCACTTTACTAACAACTTCAGAGAGCTGAAGTGAATCATTCTTTTGCTTCTTTTCTTTCTTCTCTTTCTTCTTTTTAAGTTTTTCTTCCGCAGTATGTGGACTTTTATTGGAGTTATCCAAAACAAAGTGCACATTTTGTAAACTCTTGGTTATTTCTGATGATTCTTCTCTTATATCACTGAGTCCAGCATTGGTTTCTTTTCTTCTTTTTTTCTTTTCTGATCGATTGAGACTAGAAAGATTTTTTGCAACGTCAAAGTGAGTTGAATCTGCATTTGGAGGCGGTAAATCTTCTGGCAGCTGACTTACATCTAGAGATAATCTTGGAATGAAATCAGCTTCAATGCCTAAACTAACTCTCTTCTTCTTCTTGATTACAGGCAATTCTTTAGTGGACTCAACAGCATTACTACATTCCAGTACACTTTTACTGGTGTCTTCTTCAAATTGAATTACCTTTTTTGCTTTCTTAGCTTTGGACTCTCCACTATCTTTTAAATCAACTAATTTATGTTTACGATCTTTTGAAACAGAGGTAACAAAACAGCTACTTTGCTCAGGCATATAAGATTCATCCTCTGTTTTTTCTTTCTTTTTCTTTTTGGGCTTTTTGTCTTCCTCTATTTTGGCAGTGACAATATCTCTACAATGGGAAAAGGAAAAGGAAATTTTAATTTAATATTGGATACTTATTGGCATAGATAGACAATCTATAACAAAACTCACCCCACGCTCAGAAGTTTCCCTTTAAGAAATGGAAGTGTACCACTGAAGTTTGCCTCTTTCACCTTAAATGTAACTTCTTGCTGCATGGAGACCTGATTACCAAGCCATTTTTCTGATCGAGATTCAGAACTAGGACGGGGACAGGATATATTAAATCGTTGATAAAGTAAGACTCCAACATGGTCCTTGCTGATTTTATTAACAATGCCTGAAACAAAACACAATCAAAAATTTTAATTGACTCATAACTGTAGATTAATGAAGAGAAAGTAATGAAAGAAAAGAATCTATGGTACCTTTCAGCACATTTCCCACTTCTGGCCGAAACACGAAAAAATCGGCCTGGATGGTCACAACTACTCCACTGGTCTCGGCAGCAACAGAAGCTGACTTGCTGATCACCTTCAGATGTTTGTAGCTCAGTATGATGCCATTCAACCTTTGGGCAAGGACATAACAGATTAAGTCAAACTGTGCTGCATCCAAAATATAACCTGAATAAAACACTTTCAGTTAAAGTTGAATATAGATGACATTGGTTAATTGAGAGGTTATTACAAGATGGAAAAAAGTGTGTACCATTTACATAACACACTGACACACAATATCATACTCAACACAAGCATTGCGTGAATATTTAAGTGAAAACAATGAAAATTTCACAAGAAAATCTTTTCAGAAAAGTGCCAATGATCAAATTAAATAACCGTAGTTAGAAGGTATACAATACAAAGGGGTAGTACAAAGAGGAACAATTACTCTAATAACTAGGGTTTCCGAATAAAATATAGGTTGTGAAGAACGTGGAATCAAAGGAAACTAACCCCAAACAATGTGCCTTCAACCGCCATAAAAGAAAGCAGAATAGTTGACGATAGGTCCAACGTTCACGTACCGACAGCTCAGAAATATTAAGAACAATATAACACTATGTTCACACGCGAACTAGCATTTAAAAACATAAAACTTACGATTTGTGATAACTGCCGATGCTCGTATTCAACAAATCCCGAACAGCGGACTTCAAATCTTGTAGGTGAAATGGTTGTAAGACAACAGGTATCTTTTCGTGAACGAGATAGATACGAGAATCGCTACTAGACGCTAGTTTCTCTATTTCATTTTCTCCCCACGGAATTGCTGCAGGCATTTTAGCAACGTATAACTCAAATTGCAGGGCACTTCGCGGGATTAGCTCCCTCGCCACACTTTCAACTTGAATCTCCTCACACACACCAACACCAACACACACGAGCACTGAGCACAGACGGTACTGTATCCGGTTTCTTATGACTCCTTATGCTACCAACATGTGATGTAAAATGTGCAACACATTTACGTCCTTTATTATCTTCATCTACACTTTACACCATTGAACATAATTTATTTGTTGTAAGCATCAGTAAAAAGATATAACAAAATGAATTGCATAGAGTTTTAAACAATTTGGACTATTCAGACAAGAAGCATACTTTCGAGCCGGCATGGCCTTTTTTCGCAGCCGTGTGTAAACATATCTGTCTGTGCTGTCTGAAACAAACTGTCTGCTGCAGTCACCGGGTCAGTGATCATCATTTGCAACAACAATATTTGTTTCCCTTCTGTGCTATGACATGCTTTTTCCAGACTGATGCAGTTTACACAAACTTCTTTTCTATTATGCTGCCGACTCCAGTAGCAGCCAGTAGCCCCCTTTATTAAAATCTTATCCTCCACATGACATGGAATTAGTGTATGTCAGGAAAAGGTGGGTTTTCAATGGCTTTTCTATTATGACTGCTCTCTGCAGCTCCTCTTTCCCCAAGAGCCAACCGCATTAAATCAATTAAATGTGCTTCAATGTGCATAGAAATGCACATAAAAGGTGACTCATTGGTGACGCATTAAATGCGCTTAGTGTGCACTAAATGCCCATTAAATCCACATTGAATGCAGTAATGCGCATTGAAAGCGTCACCAATGTGTCACCGTTTATGTGCATTTCTACGCGCATTGAAGCGCATTTAATGCGGTTGGTTCTTCTGGGGTTAGAGACCTTTTATGTGCATTTCTACGCGCATTGAAGTGCATTTAATGCGGTTGGTTCTTCTGGGGTTGGAGACCACAGCCCGAAGATTTTCTGCAGGGAGAACTTAGAAGGGTGTCTGGGTTTGAGAAAGAACAAATAATCTCATATGTTTAAAAAAATTAATGTGGAAATTTGTGATATGTTATTACTGATTTTGTTTAGTTTATTTGTTGTTACATTTCTTTTTGTATGTGTTAACTCCAAAGATTTACTATGTTTTACTTTTAGATTCATTTATTTTGCACAATAAATTTAGTTTTATTGCTTCTAAAGCCTGTTGTGTTTCTCCAAAGACCCTTGCATGTTTGCCATATATTTTATTTAAACACAAGCAAAGGGGCAAATTCAGAAGACCCCGCCTCTGGCACACTTTAGCCATCGTGACAACAACCTCCGTAGCTGCCTAGAGGGGCAATGGCTGCGTCGTTTTGCGTTTTGGGGTTGGCAACACGGAGTCTCGCCAACGCCACATGCTCCAAGGAATTTTCTCAGCCCACTTGAACGAAAGAGTTACAAACACCTTAAATGCAGCGAAAAATTTCTCAAACTGATTGAAGTTGAGATGAAATAATTTTTGAGCATGAACGGACTCCGGTCGCCACTCAGTAGCGGGGCGGGCCACAGGCACTCCTTGGAGGTAGGCCACCCGCCGCCATGCCCGCCGATGCGCGCTCTATCGGGTATCGACAAATCGCCCCCTCGCCCTTGCAGTGCAGAAGAAGAAGGGAGAGAAGGCCTTGAGTTGCCGGCGAGAATCCAAACGAAAGAACCCAAACTAACCTCCATACCGATCGCTTAATTACATTTTCGTATTTTTAGTGGCGGTAAGTATGTGTTAAGTCGCCTTTATTTTGGTCCTCTGTCTCGCCCATGTTCGTCATTATTACGAATCGTGTATTTTGCTCCGAATAGGTAATATTTTTAACGCATTTGTGGGAGTAACACATGAGCTGCGTTCAGTGTTCGTTTAGTTTCGTTCGTATTCTTTTCTGTTTCCATAATTTCAGTATGTCCTTCGATACTCATGCGTTTAACACAGACTTAATATACTTTTGCTGAGAAATTTAGCTCACACCTGAAAATATTGTCTTGGTAGATCGACCGTGTTTCAATCTCTCAGACAGTTGACATTATTTCTGCTTTGAGAACTTTTCCTTCTAAAACATTCTTACAGAATAGTGTGCATATCTCAGTGCTCTTAATCTCCCTTTTTTTTTGGTTTAGTTATTAAATTTTGTCTCCTTTTTGTTTCTACAGAAGACTACCTTATTGTGAAAATGGATATCCGACCAAACCATACCATCTATGTGAACAACCTCAATGAGAAGATAAAAAAAGAGGGTATGAAAATGTTCATTGGAAGAACAAATTCTATGTATTTCTTTTTGCAAAATATTTATGTGTATTATTTTGTTCCTATTCTAGAACTGAAAAAGTCGCTGTATGCTATATTTTCTCAGTTCGGACCTATTGTGGACATCGTGGCACTCAAAACTCTCAAAATGCGTGGTCAAGCATTTGTTATCTTTAAGGAAATTAACAGTGCCACCAATGCCCTTCGGTCTATGCAAGGTTTCCCATTCTATGATAAGCAAATGGTTAGTTCCTTCACATATTTCTATTCAAAACTAATCTGTTTCATTTGCTTTAAGTGATTGTGATAAATCTGATTTTCAGAGAATCCAGTATTGTAAATCAGATTCTGATGTTATTGCTAAAATGAAAGGCACTTTCTTAGAGAGACCAAAGAAAATCAAAAAAGCTCCAGCTCCTGCTGAAGATTCTGCTGACTCTAAAAGACAGAAAAAGAAAGCAGCAAAGGAACAGGCCAGAATACAGCAGCAGTCTCCAGCTGCTCAGAATGCACTTGCTTCTGGATATGGTGCTATGGGTGCAGGTACTGAATCCTATTATTCTCTCAGGATATTCTCTTACATCATGCCATTACAATTATGTTAAAAATCATGATATGTTCGACTGATCATGAAGCAATTCTAGGTTACTCAAGTGATCTAAGTCAGAGTAATAAAATTTTATGTTTGTGTTCTAGGCATGATGGCAGCTGTCCCTGACCAACCTCCCAACCAGATTCTGTTCTTGACAAATTTACCAGATGAAACCAATGAAATGATGCTTTCTATGTTGTTCAATCAGTAAGTCTGCTTTAGAATCAAATTAGTTAATGTCTCTCAAAATCTTGTTCCTGACTTCTTGTCTCTTGTGTATCAACAATACTTGTTTTTTAAATCTTTTAAAATTTTTCTTCAGGTTCCCAGGTTTCAAAGAAGTACGTCTTGTTCCTAACAGACACGACATTGCCTTTGTCGAGTTTGAAAATGAGATGCAGTCAGCTGCAGCCAAGGATGCCCTACAAGGGTTCAAGATCACACCATCACATTCCATGAAAATTTCATTTGCGAAGAAGTAATATTCTGTCCATCAATCTATGTGAATTTTTAAACACAGCACTGTAAAGTTCATCATGTGTCATTTTATGGGAAGCCTTCAGTTGACTCTATTAACTTTCTATCAAAAATTTAAATTATGGAGGCCCAGTTGGAGCCAAGGCATTTATTTTCTGAATGTTGGGAAGTGTTGCGGTTTTGTTATCTACGTTATGTGAAACGTATGTTAACAAGTACACAAAATTATTTAAGCTGCCTGAATTCTTTTCTTTCTGTTGCATGGTTTGTGCTTGCTATGACAAAATATAAATTGGAATGGAACGGCGTGCACAGATGTATATTTTTTAATATTGCCTCTACTAGAGGACTGTATAAAGTTTAAGTGAAATAAAAAAAAAATATTAAAGTGATCTGGTGCTTTGATTTTAAACAGCATTATATACTTTAAGAATTTCCCGCCACTTCAAAATACTCAATAGAACAGGAACAGGGTTCAACTTCTTAAAATTTTTAGAAAAATAAATATTTCAACTGGGAATCTAGGTGCCTTAGATCCATCGTCAAACCAGGATCTAAGCAGCCGTGCTGCTCCTCATAATAGAAAAACGGAAAGCCACGGGAAAGACGGCTTGAAGCCGAAAGTTACCTTTCCGACGGCTATTTTTAGTGCAATCTTGGGACGTTCGCCCCACTTGTGTATGGGTTGAAAGACAATACGTTTTTCAAGTTCGTTTTGATTGTTTCGTTCAACTTTCGTGTTTTCGTGTACTATCATTCATAAGAAGCACCGCAAATCAGGAGTTAAAATGCCTGTTTTCCACACGAAAACCATCGAGAGTATATTGGAGCCTGTCGCTCAGCAGGTAATGGATTGGATGTACTTCATTAATTTTTCTTTTGAAACATTCTTTATTCTTAGGTGTTTCTATTTTAATGTGTTCCTACAGGAGGAATCGTAGCAGAAGAAATTCTAATGTACACTTGCAATAATAATTTTAATTTCCCAGCGTTGCTTTGACAAGCCAAATTTTATTAATTCCATGTGTTTCTTTGCATTGTTTTTCGCCGTGGATGGTCCTAGTCTCATCTGACATCCTTTAAATGTTCGTTCCGTTTTATAAGGTTATTCGTTCAATAACCTGGCTTCGAGATGGGCGTGCCAATCGTGTTGAAGACTGGCGTCACGTGACTTGTGTGACACATCTGTTGTGTGACGTCACGGCGGGAACCCGTAAATGGGCAGCAAGAAGTAGCAGCAGGGTCTACGAGGCCAACTAATCGAGTTGTGAACCTTGTTCCATTCCGACCGCGTAAATTGCGCCAATCTCCAATATACTTGCTTGTACATTTATTTTTGTCTACTCTAAAATGTTAAATTATAGAAACATCATTTTACTTGATCAATCGGTTTTTAAAATAGTTTGAGGAAAGACAAAGTTCTAAACAGGGTACCATTAGCTGCTTATACTGTATATGGTCTTCCCTCTGCACTCTATTATTTCCTATGGGGGAGCAAGGACATAGAATCCTTATCTGGCATCTGGATGCTTCTTGCCACTTATGTTTTAAGACCAGAACCAAGATTTATTTCTATAGTCCTGAATTGTGTTGTATTTAGCCAATAATATTATTTAAGCCTACCTAACTAGAAAAATCTTCATTTTCTTTACAAGAAAGATAAAATTTATAACATATCAATTTTGAGAAGGGCACTTACTATGTATGTTGTCTCTTCTTAGGTTTCGAGACTAGTCATTCTCCATGAAGAAGCTGAAGATGGGAATGCTATGCCAGATCTGTCTCGTCCTGTGCAAGCAGTCAGTCATGCTGTTGCTGATCTTGTTAAGGTATTAACCCTCTGAATCTAAATTAATACTATTAATATATTTTATCTATGTCTAATAATGAAAATGTGGTAGGTTGGAAGAGAAACAATCAACAGCAGTGATGACCCGATTCTCAAGCAAGATATGCCAGCAGCCCTACATCGAGTTGAAGGAGCATCCAAGTTTCTGGAGGAGGCTAGTGCCATGCTGAAAGGAGATCCGTATTCAGGTCCAGCAAGGTATGTTATGTTTTATATATTTTCCACCGGATTAGTTTAACTGTAAATTACAACTTGTATTTTTATTTGTTATATCTAACTTTATACATCCTATTGTTTCTTTTATCATTTTTAGAAAGAAACTTATTGAAGGTTCAAGAGGCATATTGCAGGGAACATCAGCATTATTGCTGTGTTTTGATGAATCTGAAGTGCGCAAAATTATAAGGGAATGCAAAAAAGTTCTTGATTATCTAGCTGTTGCTGAAGTTATTGAATCAATGGGAGATTTGGTACAATTTCTCAAAGACTTAAGTCCATGCCTCAGCAAGGTAGATAAAATCATATGATTCATCTCGGATCTCGGTCACTCCTGAGATTTCTATTTGATCACTGACTTCGTGCTTTTCTGTAGGTGTCAAGGGAGGTGAGCTTCCGTTCTGAAGAACTTACCCATCAAGTCCATCGGGAAATATTGGTGCGCTGCCTTGATCAAGTTAAATCTCTTGCACCTATTTTGATTTGCAGCATGAAAATTTTCATTCATATTATTACTCAAAGCAAAGGTAAACATTACCATTAGGAATGCCATTTCTCCATTTTAATTCAAGTCATTCATATACCTAAAGCTAAAAATATTATTGTGGTCTCAGATTGTAACTGTGATATGCTCTTTTATTGTTTTTTTTCTCTTCAGAGGGAGCTGAAGCAAAAGGTGCACGTGAGGCTGCTGAAAATAGAAACTATCTAGCTCAGCGTATGACTGACGAAATCAACGAAATCATCAGAGTTCTCCAGCTTACAACCTATGATGAGGATGAATGGGATGCAGATAATCTGACTGTCATGAAGAAAGCTCTAAATGCCATTCAAAGCAAGATGCGCACTGCCCATGACTGGCTTGAGGTAGATTATTTGAAGTATTGCTGCAAACTGACCAGTTTCAGTTCTATTCCCTCAAGTTTGGTTCAAATTTGTGTTTAACGAGTATTTTATTTTGTAGGATCCCTTGGCACTTCAGGGGGGTGTGGGAGAAAAGTCAGTGCGGCAGATTCTTGAATCTGCAATGAAGATTGCTGACCGCTCATTACCAAATGACCGAGATGCCATTCGTAAAATGTGCTCTGATATCCGAACCATGACTGATGCTTTGTGTGAGTTACGAAGAGATAAGAAAGGAGCCACTCCTCAAGCTGAAGCCCTTGCCCGTGGCATTCAGGACAAGCTGGGTGAACTCTGTACTCTTCTTACACGTGCTGTTAATAATGTGGAAAAAAGTGGCATGCAACAACCTGCTCACACAGTTATGGGAAGGCTGGAGCAAGCTAAACGTTGGTTAGCAAATCCAGAAAGGGATGATCGTGGTCTTGGACAACGTGCCATCCAGCTTATTGTAGAGGAAGGCAGAAAGGTAATTTTCGAGCTAAAACCTTTTACTATGATCTGATTTACTTGTTATTAAAAATATGATGTGGCATGCAGATGTAATGTCAAGTTTTATGATGATTTTTCTTCTTGATTATCATGTGATCACATAATTTCTGCACGTTACAATTTAAAAACAAAAACAAAAATTCAGCAACTAAAGTTTTATTTATTATTTTATCTTTCTGTCTTTATGAATAGGTTGCTGAAGGTTTACCTGGTGTTCAGAAGGCTGAGATCCTTGCTCTATGTGATGAAGTTGACACATTATCAAGGCAACTTGCTGATTTGTGCAGAAGAGGCTTAGGAGACAGTCCTCAAGCTAAAGAGATAGCAAGGTAATGATCAAGCGCCTTATCAAGCTAAGGCGATGCTGGGGCGCCAGCACACCAGCATCAGTTCAACAAAAGAAGAAAGGATGGTGCCAGACAAATTACAAATAGTAATTTTAATTTTAATTGTCATTTGTTTAGCACCTTTCTTGTTATGAGCTGATGCTGGCGCACTGGTACACCAGTATCGGCTGAGCTTGATAAAGCCCATATATTACCTTTATGACCAAGAGAGTAGTTATTATTTCTCTGTTGACTTGTTCAATTTTTTTTATAGACAATTAGCACAGAAATTGCATGAACTTAAAAATCGCATCCAAAGTGCTGTTGTGAATAGAGTTGTAGAAGACTTTATTGATATCACCACACCTTTGAAACAGTTTGTGGAAGCTGTTAATGTACCTGAGGGTATGTCTAGCAATTTTATTGTGCTAAACATTTTTTAACCACACAGTTTAACAATAGTATTTTTTGTTCTGATGAATGCCTTGTTATGTAGGAACCCCTGGCAGAGAGGAAAACTTTTCTCGAAAAGCTCAAAATTTGCAAAACTTCTCCAACCGAGCCGCCAAGACAGCACGCATGGTTGCCGCGGGTGGGGGTGGGGGTAATAAAAAACTTTCAGAAGCTCTCCTATCCTCTGCTAATCAGGTACTGTGAAGATCCAGTCCACATATGACATATGATGGAGCAGTATTCATGTATTCACGTGTTGTGTGAGCTTATACCACATTCTGCATTTACTTTCTTTAGCTTGAGAGTTTGACTCCTCAGCTGGTTAATGCTGGCAGCATAAGAATGCATTACCCATATGATAAAACTGCAGATGAACATTTCAACAACCTAAAAAACCAGTATGAGGACAGTATTGAACGAATGCGAAATCTCTGTGACCAAGCTACAGATCCTGCAGAATTTATTCGTCTCTCTGGTCAGTAGAAATAAAAGTGTACTATTCCTATTAAAAATTAAGTGCGGTATTATAAAAATTAAGTGATACTATAAAAATTAAGTGAAATTATAAAAATTAAGTGATATTATAAAAATTAAGTGATATTATAAAACATTTCCTTTTTTCCCAAATCAGAGGCTCAGATGCAAAAGCATACTGTGTTATGTGAAGATGCCATTCGCAACAATCAACCACAAAAAATGGTTGACAATACTGCCAGTATCGCTCGTTTAGCTAACCGTGTTTTAATGGTCGCTAAACAAGAGGCAGATAACTCTGAAGATCCATCATTTATTGCTCGTGTCAATGCTGCAGCAAATGCGTTGGAGCGCAGTATGTACAGATATTACATTGTTTGTTTTCTTTTTTGTGTTTTGTTCAAATCAGCTAACTTTGTATGTGTATTCAGGTGTAGCACCGATGGTTCAGGATGCTAAGCAAGTTGCAATGGATACCAATAATCCTGCAGCTTGTTCAAGGTGGAAAGACTCCAACAGAGGGGTAAAGAATGCTTCTATTATCTGTGGGTTTTAATTTTCTTTCAAAATTTCATGTTTTCCTTATATTTTGTGGCTAGCTACTCAATGCCGTAGGACAAGTTCGCCAAGCAATTCAACCGGAAGGACTTCAAACTCCTGATATGAGTTCCCTCCATCTCAATGGTAAGGAATTGTTGTTTGATGAACGTTTGACAAGTTTGACATGCTGTTTTGAAGAGGGTGTTCTTTTAAAACAACATATAGATTGTGTAGTACGTAGTCAGTTTTCTAATAACCCACATTTTGATACTGTGCGTGTCTTATTCTGTGGAGCGTTGTTGGAACCCCTTTGGATTATTTACTATGTGGAGATAATTGTACTTCAAATTTAGGACACACATTTATTTTATTTTTATTTTTGTATCTGTCTTTTTGTTTGTTCTGCCATTTCTTTGGTGATTCTAACTGTTTGAGAGACAATAATATTGCTATGAGAAACAGAGCCTTTCCTAGTATCATGAAGTTGTCGACTGACAATCGACACAGAGTTGAAAATAGATTCCGATAATTTTATAATCTATGCTCTCTAAACAGGTAGTGTAGTCGATATTCAAAACTATAGATCATACCACCTCACGTCAAATGTCAGTTTTCAGAACCAAAATTTGTAGAATTTGTAGAACTCCGAAACATGTGGAAGTGAACAGTCGTGAAGTGTTGTAACAAACGATGGGCCAGTGATCGATGACTATTTTCCAGTATTGTTGTATGATAGGTTTTCCGATTATCGAAATGCAATAACTTCACGAGATGGTTTCGAGTCTTGAAATAATATGAGAATTATAAAACTAGTTTTATGATGATAAACTGTCTATAGCGTGACAATAGAGATAGTCTCATTTCGGATATCGGTACATTGTCATTGGTTGGTGTTTTTGAAACTGTCTTGACAATCACTCGACAGTTTCATATTACTAGGGTTTGAATGTAACCTCCATAGTTTGTTAGTTACAGACAATTTGTACCCTATGGGTATTCCAGTTGTACATTTATGTTGGTGGCCCCACAATGTTACCATTTATTATTCCTTCACTCATGATACATGATTTGCACTTTTTGGTAGATAGTTAGAATTATTGTCATTATTATGTCTCTACTTGATGTATCAGAAAAGAATGTATTTTTCGATGTCTAAATTACAAGGGGTTTTGCCGTGAGCCAAGCCAGCTGCATTATATTTCTGGCAAGAGTGCATAATAATGTCAAGAATTTTACCCATTGCCACATATAATAAATAGATATAATGATGGGTGAGTTATGCAGTATTTATTTGATTCTAAGTCACACCATTTTCTCTAAATCCGAAAACCAAAGTCGGGGTGCAGCTTAAGAATCAAGTACCCGTGTAGCAGGGGTCTTATGGGAGTTTTTCTATATCTCCCCTGTAAAATTTGGGGTAAGGCTTAGAATCGATGAAATACTGTATTAAAGGCAATACAACCCTCTGTATAATTCTAGACCACCCAATTTGTACATATGTATGATACATGAATGTTGTTCCATTGCAAGCATGTTGTGTGGTAGTTGCTTTGAAGGATGCTATTGTGATTGCTTGCAGAAGACCGTGCTCCTCAACAACAGTATAATTACTTCACTGACAAAGGTATACACTTTGCTCTAATTTTAACATTTAAACTTGTAAATACTGTACATGCATGAATTTGGTTTGTAGTTTGACTATCAGTTTTTATTTCATAACTTCACTACAATTATATCAGGCTTCTCCAACACTTTTTAAAAATAACTATTTCAAAAAGAGGCAAACTATAAATAATCCAAATTAAATGGTATGAAATATGTTACATTTGGGATCAGGTTAATTTTCATTGACAATTTAAAAGATACTAGTGGTAAAGTGGTGTTTTACCTGTAGTTTGGACCTCCTCATTTGTTTGTTTTTCTCTGTTTTTACTTTATTACCATTTTGAAGCATTGATTTGTTTATCCTCTCATGTTCTGAAATCCAGAAAATCTAATTTTGACTATCTATTTTAAAAACACTAACCTAGTTTTGGTTTGGTTTGATATGATCGTCATTGAAACTGTTTGAAAGTCAAGGGTGAATGGTATATTTCAGTTGGCCACCATCTTCGTGAACAACCAAGTCCTAGCAGGCTGAAGAGTGCACATGATGGAATCCCCAACACTCCTGTATATTTTGGCAGATCCTCTCCTACTTTGTCCAGTCTTTCTTCTCCTACAGGAACCATACACAGAAATGTCAGTCCTCTCCCTAGGTGGGCTCAAGGTACTGAAAAATATCCACTTGAAAATGCTACCATTCCAAAACATGGAATTATTTTCTTCATTTCATTCTTACCTAAAACTCTTAAGTCTCATGAAAAATGTTCCTTCTTTAAAACTAAATACTTATTTATTTTAAAATTTAAACTTAAATTTTATTTCTTTGGATACAGGAGATGGAACCAAATTATTGTATCAGGAGCTAAACTCAGATGATGAGTACTTTTTAAGAGGTAAAATTTAGGAATAATCAAATTTGTAGGCACGTATAATGGCTCGTTAGTGCTGGGGTTTGTGTTTGCCTACAGCCAGTGGTGGAAGACTGTACACATAAATGAGTCATTTCATTTCATCTGGTTTTAGCATGCTCTATCACGCATCCAACAAATCAAGTCACTTTTCTCTAAAGCACTCATTCTCATATGTATGTTTTTAAAAATAAACATGCAACACTACTTTTGTAGATGGGAAGAAAGGATCATCCTATTTGAGATTTGGATGAATACAAACTCTTGGCTTCAACAATTTTATTGTTGTAGATTACTTATCTATTCTAGATATAGTCTCTAGACTACTAGCAAAGTCATGATGTCATTTATGAATAGTCCGGAAATCCTTTGGTTTTGTGTCCTAACACACTTACAGATGTACTGACTGAATGACTGATTGATTGACTGACTGACTTACTGACAATAGCGCTTGTTACAGGCGCTTATGTCATGACTGACTGACTGACAATGGCGCTTGTTATAGGCGCTTATGTCATGATTAACTTCACACTTCATTCCTCTCCTACGTTGTCTGATTTTTCTTTGCCACCACTCTTTGTGTTTGCATGTTTGTCAAGCTATTGTATGCAATTCATTTTATCATCATCTCTCTACAGTAAATCAATTCTCCTTATCAAAATTGTTATTTCCAGAGGTAGTCAAATCTTTTTCAAAAAGCATTAGATTAAATATTTGCCTTCATACTCTGTGCCTTAAAAACTGAACAAACAAAACAAATGGAAGTGCTTTATATGTTCCCTTGCATTTATATTTATCTTTCATACATGGTTTTAATCTGCTTACATGTCTTTCTTATGGATAGATATTTGTTCTCGCAACAACATGTACAATGATGGTGAGTTATTTGTTAAATATGTATGTAATATTTGTGTTTTCTTAGCATGCAGGTTGCACCATTCATCATTGCACATTTGTACATTTGTGAACACAACTCGTAGCACGGCTGGCATCTTAATATTTGTGTCTTTATATTTAACACACACTCAGGAAGTGTTAATGTCGTCTCCCATGTTCTATCTAGATTCTTTTTCCTATAATAACTTTATTATTTTTCGGTGTGAAGCAGAGCCACTTATTACACTTTTCCCCCTTTTCCCTACCACCTTCTTTTTTTCCTTTTTTTTTCAACATACTCAGATTAGTTTTGTTCCTTGCACAGCTTTAAAATCGTTTACAGTATTATATTTTGTGGTGGAGGTTCTGTTTCAGAACTAATTTTCTGTCTTACTGTTAACTTTTGTGTAAAATATGAAAAATATTATAAGAACTCTCTGTTTGTGTAGACATGGCTCCTCCAAGGCCACCACTACCTGGGGGTGATATGCCCCCTCCGCGTCCACCACCTCCAGCAGAAACTGATGATGAGGATGATATGTTCCTGAATGCTCCTGGTGCCAACCAGCCAATAATGGTAAGTAAGTTTAGAGGACAGGAAGAGAAATATTCTGTATAAAAACCATCTACCAAAGAATTTTATTAAAATACATGATTTCCAGATGGCAGCACATGGCTTGCATCAAGAAGTGAAGCAGTGGTCAAGCAAAGACAATGATATTATTGCTGCAGCTAAGAAGATGGCTCTGTTAATGGGACGCCTATCTCAACTTGTTCGTGGGGAAGGAGGTACCAAGCGAGACTTAATTGCATGTGCTAAAGCCATTGCAGAGGCATCTGAAGAAGTTACGCGTCTAGCCAAGGAACTTGCGCGAGAATGCACCGACAAACGGATGCGCACTGTAAGTTGTGTTACTGGAGACAACATTTATTTCATATATGTAATATTTAAAATTGGCATGGCACTAAATAATTTTTTTTGTTCATATTTCACTTTAGAACCTTCTGCAAGTTTGTGAGCGTATCCCTACAATTGGCACTCAGCTGAAAATATTGTCAACCGTTAAGGCTACCATGCTTGGTGCTCAAGGTAAAGTACTGTATAAAGTTTGCTGTGCAAATGTAGTTGCTATCCCTCATGGGAAATCTGCCCCTCTTACTTTCCCTTTTTTTGAGGTGAAGTAATCTTTATGTTCAGAAAGCTTTCTTTTTATTTATCTATATGGTTCTACTTTTTCTTCACATTACTAACTAACGAATACCAAACTATCTAACCCTTCAAAGATATTAAGCCACCATACACTTAGAGCTTTATTTTTATTACCCTTAGCTTTTAACAACAGTTCCATTGAACTTATTTTCTTCTTTAAAAATTGTATGTTTTTAGATTTGATTTATTGTAATTACCAACAAGTAGCTTGTATCACCTTATTAAGTAATGTTAGCTGTGGTGTGCGTCTCATTTAAACTTTGGGTTGTTTCACAGAGATCCTGCCCCGATGCCAAATGGGGGAATTGATTGGTGGTAATACCACTCATTCCATTTTTGGTCTTGCAGTTTTTACTTTACCTTGCACGGCCTAAGACATTGCCTGGCTTGAATACCTCCTCTGGCACGTCTTTGTTTTAGAAACTATTGAAAGTTAGTAGATTTAATGTCAAACTCCCAGCAGAGTGTTGAGAAATTACATTTTCAGTTTATACCATTTTTATTCTTCTCATCATTTGAAAATTTTTGCTGTGTATTTTTTAATGGGTAGAAAAGATCTTTATATTCCTACTAGTTGTGCGCAATTCCCTTCATTGCGTGAATTTCTTGTCTACTGTACTTGGAAACCTGAACAGGATTGCTGCTTGAAATGATGGAAAGCTAATATTGGTTAATTTTTATTTTTTTTGCAGTGTTTTAGAGTGTTTTTGTGTTGTTGTTTTTTAACCTTTCCTGAGTATGTCTTTTTATTACTAATTGATGCATGAGATTTATACTTTGGAAAGTAGTAGACATGTAAGACAATCAATTGCATTTTTATTTGTAAATCTATAAACCAAAGGATAGATCTTATATAGTTTTACTGGTTGTTCTGTTTATGCGTTCATGGAGGCAGGCACAATGATCGGCGCCAGTAAGTATTACCTGAATGGGTAATTCTTAATGAAAATTACTGGAAAAGCTGTTTCTCTCTCCAGCTTCTTCTATTAAATACATTGTCAACTCTATATAACCTAGTTTTGAAGGACAATATGGGGTCACTTCTTTTAACTTGCCTTCTGTCCACCTAGAGTCTACTTTGGTTGCAGGAGAGCAGAAACGCCTGAATTAACTCCTGAACAAGAGATAAAACATAAATTTTTAGTCTAGAGATCTTTTTATTCTATGCTAGGTGTCTTGTATATGATTCTAGTTACAGATTTGCTTTTGTGCATGTCTTTTATTATAAACCAACTTATCTCTCATATTTCTAATCAATCAAACCCCTTCAAATTGCAGTCTCTTGTTTTGCTAAACCAACAAAACAGATTTCTATTTTCATACTACAACAACTTTTCTATTTTCATACAGGTTCAGAGGAAGATCAGGAAGCAACCGACATGCTGGTTGGCAATGCCCAAAACTTAATGCAGTCAGTGAAAGAAACTGTCCGCGCTGCTGAGTCTGCATCTATCAAGATTCGTACTGATGCTGGTATTAGGCTGCGCTGGGTTCGCAAGCAGCCCTGGTATAGGTATTAAAAATCTATGAGCCATTACAAATTGCTCATGCTTGGCAGTAAATGTCAATCCAATAATTAATACCATGACTAAAGCAACTCATTTTTACTTTTGACCAATGAGATTGAAACAGTTTTAAAAGTTCTTCTTAGTGCAGTCTTTCCATACCATTTAAACTTCTTTATCTCCCTGCCTTCATCTTTTTTTTCTTTAGTTGATATAAAAAAGAACAACAACTTTGGTATAATCTTATCCTCTTTGGTGTGCACTTAATTTTGTCATTTATGCCAAAGTTTTAACAGGCAATGTGTCTTCCTAAAATGAGCTAATTTGTACTTAACATTTTACCAGATTTTTTGCAGTAAAATTTTTTGCAAAATATTTCTGCCCTATACTTCTGAGATTCTTGTGTTATGGCATATTGTTAGTTGAACATTCATTATGTCAACATTATATGTATAGGATTTCTTTGAAAGACCATTACAATTATTGATTGGTCTCAACTGCTTTTGATGAAGTGCTACATGTTGTTAGAAGTTGCCATGCTGTATCCCAGTGGATGGTTGAAATCTAATCTAGTCTATTTAAAAGATCCTTTGTAGTATTAGATACTGTAAATCTGCAGAAACAATTGCAATGATTTTAATTATGACAGTTTGTTCATAAACTTGTTCAACTAACAACGAAATGCCTGAGGATAGAATTTTTACTCCTGCTTTCAGTATACTGCTTATATGTAATTGTGTGTCTTAACTACCTAATTCAGTTGTTTATGTGTTTACATCGAATACTGATTAGTTATTTATGTTCAGACCCTCCATTATCTTGTAGTCTTTTGCTCGTAGGTATGAAATTTCTAAGAATTTCACAAACTCTAATTTTTTATACCTCCCTCATTACGTATCATCTTATCTTGTATCAACGAGGAGATAAAACTAAATGTACTGCTATCAAGCCGTAAACTCTGAAAGAGGAAAATTATTGACAGTGTTGAAACAAAACTCTTAAAATATTGTCATGTTATTTTTCATATTTTTCACACCCTGATGTTTGTCTAGGTACTCCTAATCTTTTAAAGACTTAGTATTTATACCATAGGATTGTGTGATGTAATTACTAGACGTTTTGGAAGGTTTTAACACTTGAAACAAGACTAATCTGACAGGTTTTATGCAACTTTTTTCCGGGTAGAAAGTAACCTGGAATCTGACTTTGCCTTTTAGGACATGACTTGTTAGTTATAGTGAGAGTTGACATGAAGACCAAAATTTTGAGAACCAATTATCAACTATTTGTTGATTTGCTCAAGTTTTCAGTAGCATAAGGGAAACATTTCTTGGCGGCTTGACACTGGAAAACTAAGATAGGACTTCCTAACCTTTTTGGGATGTGAATTTTGCTAGCAACCTTAAAGTCCAAAGGCAAAACAAATGGAGTCGTTGAATCTTATAAATACCTTTTCATACACAAGCATAAAAGTCGATAGCACCATTACAGAGGTGGTACCTATTTTTCTTTTCCAGTGGACACACATTTGGAAGCGTCTTAAGTTGGTATTGTCAGCATCAGTCTAGTATGTACCTCTAATTGATCCACTGTACATACATATGAGTTTTATTTTGTTATTTTCTGTAATATGTTTATCAGTCACAAGTGGTTTGAAACATAAAAGGTTTTGTATAAGGATGGTTTAGGTTTAGTAGCTATACATCTGAAAGAAATGTACAAATCACTCCACAGTAAGAAATTGTCACTTCTTGGTCTCTTGTTAAAGGTTGATCATACTCTTACAGAGCATATTTTTTAAGTGCAGTGTTCTGCCATGATCTCGTTGCATGAGAACTCTGAAATTTTGTATGCGTAATTGGATACAAACTTGTTTAAAAGTACTGAATTTGCTAAAAAAAGTCGTGGTCTTTTCTAACTGTCTGTTTTTGAGGACATATTTTTGTAAACTGTTATGTATTTTGATACAGTGACTAAGCAAAACATATTACATATTGTAAATTCTTCTTTTCTCATTATATGTCATCTGCTCATTTCCAATTGTCATCATTCTTATTTCAGACTTACTTTTGGTGTCACATACAAGTGATAATCCTGTTATAGGCATTCCACACATGTGTTTGTGAGTTTATGTTTGTTTCAATTTCATTGCATCATAGCTGAAAGCATTTTCATTCTTTGTTTCTCACTGGTCGGTCATACTCCCAACAGCTGTATGCTCGCCATTAATTATTGCGTCTTGGTAAATCAGTGTGGTCTGATTGGTGAAACAGTAGCTCAAGTCACTTGTTCACTAAAGTAAATGTTGCATTTACTTTCATGCTTTTCACATTGTCATATATTAAGAGGCTGATGATTTGAAAACTCTTTTATCATGTGTAGTTTTGGTGCCATATTCTTGTGATTATTTTGCAGCCTTGTATTTATAATTATTAACAATTATTGCACAAATTGCTTATGTGCTATATGCGATGTATGTATGTCACTCATTTCTCCAACTTACCATTAATTGTTGAGCGTTTTTTTGATTGTTTTATAGATGTAATACAAATTTAAAGAATTACTGAGTGTTTTGTTTTATGTTAATATGTTTATATAATTTATCATTAAGTTTGTAATGTTGTAGTGTACTTCTTAAATCATTAATTTATTACTACAATTAAATGGATGAACGCCTGGCTTGCACACAGGGAAGATAAAAAAAATCTATTTTTCCTCCAAAGTTTATGATGTTTCCAGTAGCCTTTTATTTACCAGTATTACTCTTAACACGTTGGGTGTGATGTGACACACTTTGTGTCCCAATAGCATACCACATTGCCTACCCCGCTTCCTACCATCTTAAAATCTGATTAAGTATTTATACCTTAGTGATGTGAAATTATTTTAGGATACCTGTGGTAATCTGAATTGCTATTTGCTGCTGAAGATCAAGGATTAGGGACACAAAGAATATTCTCTTTTTATTTTAGCTGGAAGTGTAATTTTGTTGAATGGGGCGTGGTCACTGTTGTGCTTATAGGGACAATTCAATTTTCAGATCTTATGTAATCTAAATTTTCTGTTGACTCAAAGTTGACAATCTTTCCAAAAATATAGCTGAAAAATGTTTTAGCCAAATGCATTAAGATTATTTTGGACTGGTAATTAAAAGAATAATTTTTTGAACAATAATGCATTCAGGTGTTTAGTAGATTTAACTCTGCTAAAACTTTGCTGTCCTGAGCTGTAGCATGTTAATTACTTTGCTTTTATTGCTTATGTATGTTAGATACAGTATGAATTCATGTTACAAAATCAGACTGCTTTACTATTTTAGTTTACATCTTTGTTACATTAACATACTATTAACAGATGTTTCTCATTTGACCCATTATTTAATCTTCAAATGTCTTGTTTTTGAATCTCCATGTGGGAGCATAATTGTATGTGTGCCATGTAACACTTCAAATGGATATTATTAAACTACATGTCGGCATACACAGATCTGTTTTCGTTGCAGAGCTAACTCTCCCCCTCATACTCGCTCGTCCATTTGTGGAGTTTCGAAAATCCAACCGGGCGAGTCTGGGGATGTAGGTACGACATACCCGTTCGACGTCCACCCGGTGCCGATACAGCGGCTAGAAGTTCGCACGTAGACTACTGATTACCAGTCACAACAGCCGATACGCGCCAAGGCTTGACGAACAAATCAGCGGTTCAAATTCCGACACGGAAAGTGTTTGACTGCGTCAAGGACGCGCACAGCCGAGCCCCCCCCCC